TCTCCACATGTGTAGCAACGTTTCGATTGTATTTTAGATTTTCTAACATTTTTATTGAATCCTGTATATGAAGGTGATTTTTTGCAAGCTACCTAGAAACTTCTTGTATTTCTTTCTATCTAACAAAAGCTTCCTTAACGAAGTTCACACAGATCAACAGGTGTTAGACGAAGGCACGATATAAGGTTCAAAGGATTTGTTAGCTCGCTAGTTCTTTACGTTGTTAACTTCAGGATCGATGATTGCCTTCGACTGCGGATTAAGATTGCGACGCGTGGAATCCTAATATCGTTTTTTCTCCATACTGAATAGCGTAACAGTACATATAATACCTTAGCTCTTTGGGGGCTAACTAATGATGTTACTTTATTTTGTTTCTTTTTCATAAGGCATGAGTACAGTGGTCGATGCTCGAACCCAACCTTGACTTCCTATTGGTCGTAAACATGGCATATGGGTATATAAAATCGAGTCGATGTAAATACTTTTCATTAGAAGGCTTGGGAATTACAAAGTACTTACTGGCTTCCATTAAAACGGAATAACCAGATTTTATTAGAAACATATGTACCTATTACCAAGTCCGTCTGATATTAATATTCGTTATTAACTCATTACAAGTTATACTATATTTCCAATTCTGTTTATATTTTCAATATTACTTGGATGTTATATGTAGGTTAAATAGAAATTATTTGTAGTAAAATAAAAGGTTGATTTATAGTAAATATTCCCACAGACACAAAATTAATTTCCGCATCAAATAACTAAGATTAATATTTTACTTTCAATTCTGAAAATCATTAATCCAAGGAGGGTCTGGACTTCCCTTGCCAGTAAGACTACCAACCGAACGTAAACTGAAATCAAACCAGAAGTTACAAATTGAAGACCACACGAAACGCAGAGTCGGCTGATCCAAAAACGAAGATAAATCCCGTATTGCCAAGCGATTCGTGACGACGATCCAATCTCATCGCGTTGCGTCCACCTTGACACAGAACGCGACATTCCACTATGCAATCGGTCACGTACGATCTCGTGCTGCGATCTGCTCTTCATCCGCGCTCATCTGCGACCAGTTCGCTTTGCATAATCTCGAATTATAAGCCGGAAATGTTTCACTCTGGCCGCGAACGTGGCCGATTATCATCGCGGTGGACGCGTGTCCGCGAAAATACAGGCTAATTGCACGCATTCCGGTTCCCCCGTTGTCGTCGGACCATGGACCATTAACCGATTGCGGTTCTCTGTTTAGCAATCAGAGATAATCTCCTAAGAATGAACTTAATTCGTCTAATAAATGACTCAGTTTCCTGACCACCGCGCGTGGAATTTGTCCTGTGTCTTGTAACGTATCGATTCGCGTTTTATGAATTCACAGCGAATATGACAACGTGTATTATGTTCGGAGTATTGGCATAAGGCCTACAATGGCCATCTGTGACGTTAGTTTGGTTTTTTCTACCGGCAAGCATCGATTTATCCTCATCGGTAGACTTACGTGCGTCAACGACAGGCGTTGAAGTCACCACAATAGCGAATTGCTTTAGCTGTCTAGCTCTACTGAATTAATGACATTGTAATTTTCAGAAAATTAAATTCTTTGTGGATGGTTGGTCTTTGTTAAAGGTTCATGTAAGATGAACACCCCCGTCAAATTTAAAAGATGTATTCACAAGTGACCAAAATTCTGAGTTCGTAAGAATCTAACATTTACCTATTTTTTACTGCTCTAAGTTTGTCTTCTCAACGACGCTAAGGCGCATTCTTACGCTTGCGTTTAAATAATGTCTCAGAGTAGCCCAGAAATGTATGATAACGACTATCTCGATTTGCCCACTCGAGATGAAGTTCCCGCGTAGAATTTATGGTCCGCGAGACGCCTCCAAAGTTGCGATGCATTCATCACGTGCATCTGTGAGTGCACTTGCCGCGAGAGATTCCCTGGAATTTTAAGGAATACAAGAAAATGGATAGCACTCCAGGGTAACTCGAATGTGGAACTCATAAATCAGCTTTAAGCGTTTCGTGCTCTTATTTCAACATCTCGACGTGCCATTGAGAACTTTGGACTGTTAACGCATGTCACGTTATCTTGAAATCTTAGTAGATTAAATATTTTTTTGCAATCTGTGCAATCTATGAAGACAGTGCTATGAAAACAATGTACTGGATTTTCCAGAATCTTTAAACTCGCATCTCTATTTTTAGTTCTTCGACTGTTTGATTTAGATAAAAAATAGGCTTTAGGCTTTAAATAGGAAAAATAACAATTTCTGTGATTTAATTGCATAACCGGTTCGCCATTTCATCTCGTGAATCACTTACGCCGCTGAAGAATCTGTCAGATGCGCCGAAAGCAGGCGGAGATGCAACGTGGTGGAAATAATCGTTTCTTTGGAAATCTCGGAAAGTATAATTTGTGTACACAAGCAAATTACACGAAGGGTTCGACAGAGTACGCATTAAACCACGCACTCCCTGTTTAATTTTCGCGTAACTGCTTTTTTGACCCCGGTAAGGGATATCAAATGATTATTTGCAGATATAATTAGTTCCTCGAATAACTGTCTTCCAATCATACGAGCATCATTTTAAATAACGCTTCATTTCGGATAATGCGTTTCTCCCCGTTGGTGTTATCCCCAGATCTTTAATACTCACGCTATCCACTACACACTTACAAATATTTCTTTTTGTCACTTTAATGTAATTTTCGAAAGAAGATTCCTATTTTTCAACAAGCAACACTAGAATCTATAGAGGTTAAAGACAATTATTTAATCGACAAGTTAACGTGAATAAATACCAACAATAATTGCCCCGACAATTCGCTTCTATCAGAAAGTATAAACATCGATCCTCGAGGACATAACTTTATTGCTACTTTCAGACATTGAGGTAAATTCGAAAACATTAATTTTTTATAGAGTTATGCTAATGCTTAGTCTTTCGCACCGATTCAGGCATAAATTTCCACGAAACGGGCGAGTTTTCACGCAAGCAGTGAAGTTTTAACGCTTTACCATCCGGCGCCTGGGTTCGTGGAACGACTATAAATATATTGTAGTAACCACTTCTTGATAACAACCGTGTCGATCGTAAATTACGACACTGTTCCGTGAAATAATGCACTGTGACCCATCTCTGCCCGTGCAAAGCGTGCTAAACTCGAGGTGTATATCATTATAATAACCTTTCCGTTGACAATTCGTACTTTGTAGCGCGTTCAGCATCAAACTATGCGCATAAAATAGTAATAAATAATCACCATAGGTGCTCAATAGAATTATGGCGTAAATAGGCGTGATGTGCTTGTTAGGTGGACTAAATTTCAACCCTTCACAATGGAATTTTAAAGAAGTGGACACCGCGCTATAAATTTTGATAAATGCCAAACGAAGCCAGCAAGCACTTAAAAGGACGAGGGTACGTGATTCGATTGTTGCTTTTGTTTTCTTAAAGATAATAGCAACAGGATTAAACCACTACTAGATCTCGGGGAAAAAAGTCGTTTAAGTTTATAATTTTTACTCACGAAACTAAACGTTCTATGAATATACTGTAAATATAAAAAACGTCCGTACCAGGAGCACCTGTTTTCCATAAACTCGAGGAAAATCGTTGCAGCGTTCCAGGCACGCGTCCTGTTCGCCTACGAGGCGGCAAGAAGAGACACGATCCGGTAAATCTCTGTGACGGCATACCTGGTGCTTCTTCTCGCGCTTCTTCGTGCCCATCGATGACGGGCTTATCTTACGCGTGCCATCGGCTCGATTGTGCATAACGCTGACGCGCGTCGCGTTGATGGGTCGAATGTTGTAATTTATTCCTCGCACGAGGGGTGCCTCCACGCGTCCCTAGTTTGCTGGAAACACGCGGTGAAATGACTCTTGCTTGTAAAAAGATTCCTCGTGGCTCTTTTTTCGACCGCGGAAGTAACATGCATCGCGGGACACGCCTGAGCGTTCTAATTCAGCTGCACGCGTCCGTGAAGTCTGGGTTACATGGACATTTCAACTCAATTCGTTTGATTTCAACTTAATTTATTTTCTGGACTTGTAGTCTCATAAACTCGTATATTGAACAAAAAAATAAGTATTCTTCCACGAGCTCTGGAAATTTATTTTCGTTAACCGTCTATGCGACCGACGCTAAATGGTATATAAATGATACCAGGCAATTTTTTATCCTCCGAGAATCGCTGACAGCGATGATTTAGCGCTGCAGATCGGGTTTTTGTACCGGAGGTGTGTCTCTAAAGATAGTCAGGTGTCGCGGAGCGTTGGGATGTCGCCAATTAGAAATTTCGCTTGCCCGCCAGCGATGCTCGATCGTCGCGGATGTTTTAACGCAGATAAATTACTGTTATTAATTCTAGTCGACGAACGACTGCTTTAACCTCCTAATTACGGCAATTTCACGGTCACGCCCCTAGAGTCGTGTAAATGCTGATAAATCAACGAATTATTTGTCGATTAGTTTCGCGAAACGCAGAATTGAGCCATCGTTCTTCCCAACCGAAATCAGCATTTGATTTATTCGGTATTGACTTACTAATACTCGCTGTATCATGTATGAGTCTGTGACCAACAGTCGAGAAAATAATAAATTAAATTGAAATCAAACGAATTGAATTTAAATGTCCATGTCTTTTTGAACGCATCAAGTTCCGTTTTATTTGTATGTCAACGGGTTAAAGAAACTAGAACACAGTAATTCAACGATACTAAAACAAAGATCTACAGTGTATACCATGCCAGTCTTTTTGGCAACTTTCTGGTGTCATTAATCACGACACCGAGCACCGTTTACTTTTAATTCGTCCCCCAATTATCTCAAACAATCGTCCCATCGTAGCCCCAGTGATAAATGTCACGCGAAGCATAAGAGAAACGGTCGATTTATTCATGCCCAAAGAGGCGAACAAGCCTCTTCGTCATCCTCGTCGACGCACGGTGCGAGAGGTTACAGTAATTCCCTGCACTTTGTTTCAGAATGCTGTGGGGAAGATGCGTCTTCTAGTTCTCGTCCTGGCGAGCTGCTTGAACGTTCTCGAAATTACTCGTTGTCAAGAGCTTTCGGTCATCAGGCACTCCGATGGAGATATTTTCACGTTGGAAGGTAAGCCACGGTGCGAGAGCAGCGATTAATAAATCTTTACGACGCTTCCTGTCTCTTTCTCTCTTTTACGTCGTCATTTCGTCCTGCTCTCTCGACGTAAATCATCGGAACTCCGGCGTCGAGACGCGAGATTCGTGGACTTGTTCGCCGAGTGCCACCGTTTCTTTTTTCCAAGGGAACGAAACTGCGAATCGCGCGATCGTGACGCGCCATTTTTCAACGAAATCACACGCGGGAATGGAAAAAGAAATAAGGATTCCGAACCGTGATTCGTCGGGCACAATGGCGGCATGGATGAACGCTCGTGGCCGATTAGCCATGAAATTACGATGTAACGGTTTGACAGCTGTACTTTACCTGACCAGATTATACGTAGCGTTCTGGCAACGTCGTTTGATTACGTGAATTTTCTCATCATCGAGGTACAAACTCGAATGTCCTGTTGGTACAGTTACGCAGGGTTGTCACATGCAAAGGTTAACGGCATCAAAATATTGCCAGGTCAATCGTCGAGTGGTATTACTGGGTCATTTTTGGCTGAACTTTACTTTGGGCACCAAAAATTATCTAGTTCTATTCCGAATCATCTTAATCTATTGACATATCATGATTATTTCATCTTCGCCGATTCAATCTATCCATTCGTTATTATTAATGATCGTACTATAGCGTTTGCATCTTTAATGGATTTTAATTATTTCCCGAGGCCTACGCGTCGCAAACCGCTTTCTTATTACAGAGCATTTAACACTAATCTGGACAACTCGTCTCTCATTGCATGAATTTGTTAGCAAACACTGTGTGTGTCATACCGTTAACTTTGCTGATGGAACTGTTTGTTCTCTTAAACGTTCTATAATCTCGAGACACCGTGTGCAGTAATCATATCCTTATTCACGTATCATAAACTTGGCTGTTAAGGTTCCTGCACGGAGGCTTGCGCAGTTCTCAGCAGCGGTACAGCCAGCCCTTACACTCGCAGCCCTTCGACAGCAGGACTCGTTCACCCCAACAACACCTGCACTTGCCAGTGCAACTATGGCCTGCCCACCTTCCGAGAGGATCTTCACATCTGCGTGAATGATATCCACGGTAAGTCCCTTTAATCTTCCCATCGTCCACTCGCTTCCCGTTGGGGATAATGAAAATGGACATGCAGGGACTTTTTTCCAGTTCGACGCAATCGAATCGAACCTACGTAGAAAGTTCCTGTTGCAAATAATTGTACACGTCCGTACCTTTCCCTGTTGCGAACGATTATGTTTAGAAAATTGAGCATTTTATCTAGGCAAAGTAATCAAGTTATTTGATCGCTCGCGGTGATGAAATTCGATGTTACTTGATCGAGACCCCGGCTGACAGAGTTGGATTGTGCATTGATTACCTTGTGATTACTTTTGTAAAATCGTGATTGCCAGATTAGTCGTCTGTTTTTGTGATTCGTAGACCGTGGATGTTTATGCAAATTTGTATTGGTGAATCTTAAGTTAAAGTATGTTTCGTCTTCTGTACAGTGTAACATGGATATTATTATTGATATTTTATACATTTTTGTTATGAGTCCGTAAACATGTGCAGTGTAGTAATCTGCAATCGTAAATTAGTCATTGTTAGTCTTCCAAATTGAAAGTTCCAAGGAGTTTTACATCTCGTAATTCTTCAAATTATAGTTTCACAAAGGCTTACAATGTTTAATTTGTCGTCTTTGAAATACAGCCTAGCGATACTTAACCACGATTCTTGATTATTTAGAAACCACAACAGTGGTGAGTTATACCGTCTATAATCACGTTTTGTCCGACGCTGCTATCAAAGCACGGCTTCGATGGCGTTACGAGCCTCTGCACGCGAATGATTCAGAATTAGTGGGATCCTGCATGAACAATTGAAATCGAAGCATGTCGATGGTGCGCCACAGTGAGATGGAACATTGCTGATTTCCCATCCCTACGATTATCCTTGAGGATCGAGTTTGTAACGGTACAACATACGTGTACGTCTCCTGGCGGTTTATTTCTCCTGCGATCACTCGAAATGAGTTTGACCAGTCCTTTGATTTTCGTTCGACGACTAATCCTCGGAGATTTATCTCCTCCAGCGACGTACGACCTGTCATCATGTTCTATTCCTAGAAGATCCTGCTAAATATACCGTTTCCGACGATGAATAATTTAAGGAGTACGCGACGCGTAAATTAATTGAATTCAAAGTGAAATTATATTTTTACAAGGTTATTCTTTGCAACGTAAGGATTTCAAGAGTTTTGAGATTTTTCCTGCACAGGAAAGGCACTATGTAGGATATCCTTTTCAAAACCCTTCTATAATCAATTCCTTTTAAATTCAAATATGTAATTTATATTTGAGAATCTAGTAATACTTTTTCATATAAATTCATCCTCCAAGTCTGATTTTGAAACGAAACTCATCACCGCAATTTTTCTCCCCATTTCGAGGTCCGCTTCTTGATCTGCACGCTGCGTTTTCTGGCCTTTCGCGGGCAGTTAGGCGCACGTACCGTTTTCAATCGAACCGCGTCATCGGAAATGATTGCTCCAGCTGTTGAAGCAAATCGTCCTCGTGCCGCACGTTTCAAAGCGACTCCGTCGAGTGTTGCGTGCCTTATAATCCGTCTGCCTTGATTTACTACGCGCTACGCGCTTCAACTCCAGGCCTATCCATCACTAGAGGAAACAGTGAACACGATTAGACAGCCGTTCGGTCTCCTAAATTTGCCAATTAAACATCGTAATTGATTGACAAACCTTTATGAGTGGATGCTCGGGATTGATTAACGACCGACTACAATCGGAGCGAAAACTGCACGCGGTGGGTTCTTTTTAAGAATAGGTTGCTTTTTGCTCTGTTGCGGATTCGCCGGTAACGGTGCTTTGGAAAGATCTAATCCGGTTAGGCTTTCCTGAGTATTTTGTCGGAATATTAAATCATTATAGAATTGAACACGTAACACGAATTGTTTGAGAGTACTTTGAAGGTTGTCGTATTATTAAAAAACAAAGGCTTACGATGAGTATAACATTGTTTGACTGATTAATAGAATCCGAGGACAATCCTTATTATCATATACGTGACTTAATGGACTCCCATAAAGACCTACTCGCGAACAAGTCGCAGGACATGCGATTAAATCAGCATAATCGACGAGTGTAGCCGATCGAACCAATTGGTTTAATTTGAAATTTGAAACGCTTTCGCATGGGGCACTTGCTGTACACGGTAATAAGTAGCCAATGAAGGTTCGCTTATTGGATCAACCACCAGCCGTGCAGTCGATTTCTACTCGTTTCATTCCCAAATAACAACGTGTTGCACTGTACTTAAAACCTCGTTATAGACCGCCATGAATAATCAAGGTTATCGAGTCTTCCCTGCAACATCGAGGCCCGTTTAAAATCGCTGGCATACTTACAATTAAAAACGTGTACAATTTACATCAATATGTCGCTGTTCATTAAACTGCAACATTCAGCCACGAGCCACTTTGCAAAATAATTACTAGTCAGGTTATTGCAATATTATACAGATTACTATATTATTACACGTTGACTGCCACGCAAGTTCTAGGGGATATTCTCGACGTTTTGTGAAACTCTAGTGTGAAGAATAAGATTATTCGATTGTTCAGTGGATCATTGTTACTTCATATCATTTCCAGCGATAGTGACTTGATCTGAAAAGAAGAATTAGACTCTGTTAATTGTAAGCATCATTATCTCAGCATTATTCCACTGTTATCACATTAAAATTGACAATTAAATCCCCGTGGGACCATGGAATATTTAAATTCCTAAGTCTTGCACAGTCCATGTGTCAATCACTCTATTCGCAATAAACTATTGCACACCTGTACCGAAGAAAATCCCTGTGTCAGGAGTCGGTATGAAAAGTGCCTATAAGGTTACAGCTTATCTCGGTAACGTAGCTGTAAATTGCCGATTAAGGCAATTTCACATGGATTTGCATCTTGTCGGGCCCCGCGGAGCGAGGGAGAGCCGAAGACGTGAAATATATTCATTCTGCCACTGGGTGAAGCCTCTGTGACCTCTGCTGGCCGTTGTGCCTGCGATCCTCATCGATCTCGAATTTCTAGGATCACGAGAACCGCGAAAACACGGCGAGAAACCGCTGGACTGTGCGTAGGCGAGCGGAGACTTCGATGCGCCGACAAGATAGGAAGGAGCGCGAAAAACAACGCACGGGTGGTACGTTGTATCCTGAGCTCGAGCTATTGATATAACTACTCATATTTATCGCTGCTGGAAAAATTTGTTGTAGAATTTATCCCAAATTACATATTATTAGAAATAATGCCAAGGTATTAAAATCTACGGAGCATGACACTCAACAAACTGTTCATTGTTAACGCGTGCATTGTAAACGTTTTGTACCAGGTGCTGAGGTCGAAACAGTCATGAACATTTTTTAAAAAGTTAAATATTTTCTGCTTCGTTGAAACAATCGAAGTTGAACTTTTATAGTAAAAGTTCTCACAATGTAGGTACTGACTGGGACATATAATGATAGAATTTCTACTTCGATTAAAATTTTGCAGCTGCTCGATCTTCAGATAAACGCGAATCGCCCATTCAGAATCATTCAAACCCTCGATCTCCATTCATCTCGCCTCCCTGGTTCGCCTCGACCTTAAAGGATGGCCTTCGAGACTCAGAAATCATCTCGAGTCATTAGCATTCGCGTCGTCGCGTCTCGAATCACCTTCCTTCCTTTACGACACACGAATCTCTCAATTCTCAACACCTTGCTCGTAACCGTAAACCTCGTCGCCTTTTACCGCCGATAAATGCTCGGTTACGAGTTTAATCGCGGCATTGTGCGCCCCGTGCGTGCGAGCGTGTAATTTTCTCGCAACGCGAATCGAAAGGATGGTTTAAGGACGTTTTCTTCGCAATGGAGTTTCATAGTTGCGGGGCAAATTTTCAATAGTCGGTTGTGTCTTCGAATTTCATCAGCTACGACGGGCCGTTCAAGGAAATAGAAACATAAATTGCATGCTGTGCAACGTTCGCGGAGATTGAGCGATGTTTGAATGGGGGCTCGAGGTAAATCGCTACTTTAATGGGGCTTATACAACGCCATGGCGAGCGAGAAACGGGTCGTTCATTTTGAATTCTTTTAAACAGAAGTATCAAACGTATCCTTCTGTGGATTACGTAATTCGAAGCACACAGGCTGGGGATGAATCGGAAAAATTGGCGATGTAAAACATTTACAAATGACGGTGTAACGTCCATCGTTTTCCACAGTTGAAGAATAAACGTGAAGTTGAGAAAAAGTGTTTTATGACAAACAGGCATCTCCTTTTTCACGAGATTAATTTTTGTTATAGATTTTGATGAAAAATCGAATAAATATATTTCTAACATTCAGAGACAATGTTATTGTTTGCGTTAGGTTTTCATTATGGAAAACGCTTAATTAAGCAGACCGTTCAATATTTACGAAGCCGAGGCGCACTTCGAAGGGTGCTCGATAATCTGAGAATCGTGATTCCTCGTCCAGCGATCGCGAGCTATGAATAATAATGGAATACCTTCGTGATTTCTGGCCGCCACGAGATCCGTGCACGTTTGGCGGCGTCCGTTGAGTTTCGCCCTGTAATAACACATCGGATAATGCAACCCCTGCGATGATTAGTTGCACGCGTATATCACGATCTAAAATCAATAATTCTGCCAGAGAACTGTCGGAGTATAATGATTGATGAATCTATCGAACACGTGTTACGTGTAGACATTGCGGATGCATCTTAAATCTACCAAGTATTCGTCTGTGCTAAGAAGAGACGGATCTTTAGATACTTCAAAGCAGAGTTGCAAATATTGCAATACTTTTCTAATGCATTATTAGAAAAAATATTATTCGCTACTTTTTCGATTTGTAATGAACATATTACTTTCTTAACCTCTTCGGAATAAAAAGTTGTTCATTTTCTTGTTTAGCTTATAACCGTCTCTGCTTCAGATTTCTATGGTTGTCCACGTGCTTTGAACACCACTGTACGTCGTCAACGTGCACGAATGTGGTAGCAGCTATCGAACGGTTGTTTGCACA